TAATCATGATTCAACGCATTTTTCCATCTTAAGAGTCAGCGCCAACGCACTCTATGATTTTTATTCGAGGATTGTCGATTCATTTATTTTCATTCATTAATGAAGTCGGCTTTTCTTCCCCACTGAAGGGCTATTGTGTTTTTATGATAAACAAAATTATACAGGGTTGCTTGTAGATATGGAATTTCTCTTCTCGTGTTCAACTCGACATCTCACGAGTGAGCGCAGCAGTTAAACACTCGAAGAGAAATTCCATATCTACGCACGCCCATGTATTATTCTCTATTTCTCAGGGCTGGAAGTCCTTGTATAACACCGTAGTTTTTATGATAAACGCCAAATAATTAAAAAAAATACTATTTCTTCTTATTTTTTTCAGGTTATGTTGAATTATATCTCGTTGTTTGATTACTACGAAAAAGAATTTGTCTCGTCTTGTGTTCACAACCCCATTTGTCGGGGATTTGTTCCTCTCTTATTTCGTAAGTTTAAGGCATTTTTTGGAATTTATTGGGGAAAATAAACTAACTGTTTTGTATAGGAACTATAACCTTGTAAGTAATTTGTTTTGTTACTCCCCTAGTTTTATTCCGTCAGTCCCCACTCCGCCATTCCATCCACTTGCCAGTCTGGTATTTTCTTCAGATAGCCAATCTTTTATTAAAATTAAAATTACTTTAGTTACTGACGTGAGTCAAAAGAAAAAAAAAACAAGCTTAAAATGTTGCCAGCAAGGACATGGATGAATACACAAAAATCTCGCTTTCTCGAAAAATGGTGTCACTCGCCACCTGAGTTATGTTGTAATATTCAAGACCCGCAGTTGTGTGCAATTCTGTCGATCTTGATATGCTTTACAAGTCTCGAACCCAGATCTAACCGTGTGACTGTAACTGCAATTGGCTGTGGAAGGTCTGGGTGATGAATATGAAAGCGATCTTCTTAGTAATGAACACCACTTAAGCAGTAGTGGGAATAAGGCCTGAAAAAAATTCAGGTCTGTTTAGGATTTGAACCCATGACCTTTGCGTTACTGGCGTAGTGCTCTAACAACTGAACTAACAAGCCAACTGGGTTTATTACAACCCAGCATAGTGCGAGACCAGCTCCCAGTTTTCATCGATCACTGCAAAGATCGCGTAAATATTCATTTCTTAAACCGCAGTTCACATATATGATATTTGTACCTTCAAAGTCAAACGAGACTAATGTTGTACTTTACTGTGACTTGAAACAGATGCTTTGGAGGGAGGAGTTATTACAGCAGCTACCGTTTCTATTTTGTTGATGCTGCATTTTATGAAATGCCACAGGTAGGTTAAATAAGATTCGATGTCCTCACGATCATTGTGTTTTTGTCTTGGGAGATAAGAAGAACAGTATGGAAAATATGCATACTGATGATGATGATGATGATGATGATGAAAGGGTTAAGTCTTCTACATGTAAATTAACAATTGTTTCATACGTCAGCATGCGTTCCTCGAGATATGAAGCACGCGAGAAGTTTGGAGAGCACGAAAGATGCGTAAGAGCTTCTTGAGTGCTCTCCAAACTCCCCAAGTGCTTCATATCTCGATGAACGCACAGCTGATGTATGGACCAATTGTTTTATAACATTTTCAACCCGATGGAAAATTTTTTTTTCGCGATGGATTTGTTTGCTGACGTCATGAGCGTGCACAATAGGAATATGAAGCACGCTCGCGCAATTGAATTTGATGAGGCAAATTTACGAGCTATGTCATAATTTACTTTGAAGGAGGAGAAAGGACTGATAATTCGCTAAGCTCAAGCATCTTGCTAAATATCCCACTCTTTTAAACCTTTCAGATCTTATTATTTCACCAATCTTACCTGCTCCGTACTCCATTTGAATGATAGCTTACAAATATGTTATTTTTGATTCAAGAGACAATGTGTTACAGATGTATCGAGGCCAGAGAACTTTTTTTCAAGACGTGACTGTCTCTCCTGCGAATTTAGTGGTGGGTTACTATGCCTTCTGCTTCCAGGGTTGCGTTACTTTGTGCTATAGTTCGCGTTACATAGTTTGTGTTGCATAGGTTTATACGTCGCCAGGTTTTGACTGACAGTCTTGTATGTTGCTAAGGGCCACGTGCGCCTGGATTGGATAAGAATTTGAGGGTTAGATATAATACAAATATAAAATACAGTCTTTCGGGTGAAGACAAGTGTAATTTACGAACTAGCAAGTGTGTTATGATTGCATGTGCGACAGTTACTAATGCTCAAAACCCTGACATCTCACGACTTTGACTTCTTTGCAGCCAGATCTCGTTCGCGTTCGAACTTATCAAGTCAGTAAGACATCGGGCAATTTTGGTTATTGATCATGCTTAACCTGTTTTATTGGAATTATAAGACCCTTTCCTCCAACAACGGACCCTTGGAAACGAGTTTACATCAAATGTTGAGTGACAACAGACGTGCACGTGACTGCAGCAAGACATAAAAATGATAAAACCTGACGTCACTTACTCACGTGTACTAGTTCGATTACAACCAAGAACTTTCCATGTCAACAAAAGTGGTTTATTTTTTACTGAAAAATTTATGTTGGTCACTGTTGTTTCAGGGACAAAGTTTGTTATTTTCTGGATATCAGATTGCGTTTGTTCTAACAGGTATGTAACAGGCGTTTCTGAAAATTTACAATGTAAAATATTTTTTCTACAAGATGTCAAATCGTTATGGCACTGTGATTAACAAATATTTTTACCTGGGGTATGTTGGGCTATTTTTTAAGCTTTTCAACTAATGACATTTATTATTATTTTTAGGATACACTGTATTGAGTTTTTTCCTGGCCATCATAGTTGTCAGCCTCACTGCCATTTTCAAGTACATCGATTTTTTAGTTTCACCGGAAATGTTAGAGGTGTACAAAAATATTGGACAGGTCTTTGCGTAAGTTTCATGCTGCTAGATTCACTGTTAAACATGAACTTTACCAATTTGTTTACCTTATTATTACCTTAATCAGTTTGAAATAAACATTTCGTCAACAATGGGAAAGGAGAAGGATACTCCTTGCCCAACTGCACAAAGTTGAGTACAAAAGACGGGCGGACAGAGGACAATTATCCTGTCGTACTGTACAGTTGGTTTTTTTGTATTGTAGTGGATATCTGTTTAACTGGTCGACTGCGCGCGACTGTGCTTCTTTGCTTTCCCCGTCGTACGCGAAATGAGCAGAAATACTTGACAGAAAAAAACAAACAGTCAGATAATAAATAACTTATCCGACATTTTGGTGTGGTATTGCTTAGTAATTTACTCTCTGTTTACATTAAGGCATAACTCGTACACTTACTCAGCGAGAATACACACCAAAACGTCTTATGGGATATATTTATACCTCATATTGATCGAGTTCGAGGTCTTTACTGTAATAAACGGACCGAGTACTCTGCTTAGATTTATGGCCCTGGTGCGAAGCGCGCAGGAGGAGGGGGGGGGGTCATAAATCTCGGTCCATTTTTTACAGTGCGTACCTCAAACACGACTGATCAGAGGTGGTGTCCTTCCCCTCCTCCCCCCAGTGTACGCCTTCCACCCCTAGCACTTCCAAGGGATAATGGATTTTTTTTATGAATGCCATTTCAGGCCACCAATTTTCTTGGCGATTTGCTTGTGGCTGTACCAGTTATTCCTCACCTACTACGTATTTCGGGACAGAGACTTTCCGAATATCACAATCACTGTTGATAACAGGCAAGTTCATACGAAATAAGTAAGTATTTCAGTGAGTATAAGTTTGAAAGTTTTCTTTAGCATGTGCCATTTTTTTCCTTTTTTCTTCTTCACCATTTTCTTACTGAGATGGTTTTTCCACAGACGGTTTTACTCCATTATGTCCTACTTCTTCTTCTTCTACAATATACTCCTTGGACTGTTCTCCTGCATCATGCGAATTATAAAAGGCATGATTTTAGGAGTGATCTTCATCTCTCGAATCGACCGAACGTCGCTTATGCAGGGATTCCAGACTTGGGACAAAGGTATGGAAGCAAAGGGGGAGGGGTGGGGATAAGTTGTAAACGTTAGAAATCGGTCGTGATGAGTCACGATCAATCTGCTCGGAGGTGAGCTAGGAAAATTGGTTCGAATTCAGCAAGTGGAGGCTTAAATGTAAACTCTTTAAGAGATATAATTATCATCAAACGACGAACTCGTCTAATATAATATAAAAGACAAGAAAAACATGCACGAACAAACAAAAACAAAACAAAATGAGGCATTTTTCTTCCTGTTCTTTTGCGTGTGCGTGTGTATGTTTTTAGTTTGCTTGCTATTTCATTCGCTCAGGGTCTTCATGATATCATCTTTTTTTAACGCTATTTTCCAGCCTTCGTGGCATATCTGGGATTCATCCACATACTGGTGGCTCACAACCACCCTGTTATGCTGATGTTTTGCCAGCTGCTCATCAACAGCAACAAGGATCGTCAATATGGCACTGTGGAGAGGGAGGGTAAGGAAGATACTGACAGTGTTAGAGGAGTAAAGGGTTTGGACCCAGGGTTTTTTAAACATTTAGTCTTCGACTCCATCTAAAACAAAATGATTATGATGATAACGGTATTGATAACGATAACGTTGTGGAAGGATTAGATTAACGATAACAGTTGTGATAATAATAGAGATTATGATGATGATAATTATAGTGATAACGATGATGATGATAATTACAGTGATAACGATAATGATGACGATGATGTTGATTATTATTACCATTATAAAATGATAATCGAGCTGTTTGTTGAGCACTGAAGAAACTGAAGTAAAATAATTATTCAATATCTTAACTTTTCAAATTTATTTCCAATAAAAACATAAAAAAGCTTTAATGCCTGTAAATATAAGGAAATGAATATGGAAGCGATCTTCGAAGTAATGAACAAAGAAATTCAGGCCTGACAGGATTTGAACCAACGACCTCTGCAAAGCCTGTACAGCGCTCTACCAACTGAACAACTGAACCGGAAATGCAGTGAAGCGCAACTAATCAGGGGGCGTAGGGCATTTTAACAGCCTCTTCGGGCAGGCGTCTTTTCTCCCCTCCCCCGCCCCCTACCCCCACTGTCCACTCTAACTGCAAATCAAAAATGGCCGGTCGAACAAACGATCGCGAGCTTTTGGCATCAGCTCGCACTAACAAGACGCCTGCACTTCAGGCTATCGAAGTAATGAACAAAAAAATTCAGGCCTGTACAGGATTTGAACCCATGACCTCTGCAATGCCTGTACTGCGCTCTACCAACTGAACTAACAAGTCAACTGGGGGCTGGTAATTATATTGGTTCCAAATAAACCCGTCTATAAGTAGTGTTCAATACTGCGAAGATCGCTTTCATAATTTATTTATCCGCAGTTCATGTACATGATTTTCATTTATATTTACGGTCATTTAATCACCACCCTTATCAGTTCGAGCAAGTAATTTTCGTTATGGCGGATATATAGAAATTGTATACTTTCGGGAGTTTTTCGTCCATCGATGGATCATCTTTGTTCACTCTAGAGTTACCAGGCCTATGTGTACAAAATTCGCATTCAGAGGATCAGAGTTCTGCTGGTGAGTTTCGTCGCTTTGATCTTGTCCCTTTTTGGGAAGAAAAAACATTGGCGATTAGTTGTTCCACCAGTGTAACATGTAATGACAAACTGTCATTTCTTTGTTTTTGCTCCAGTATTTGTTTGTAAGTTTGTTGTTTGTTTGCCTTTTCTAAAAATACGGAACATTATGTCTAGCTTGGGCAACTTCCTTTAAGATTTGAGGAGGAAGTTTGTTTCATTCGTCTTTTTTTCGGATTCATTCTAGTACACGTGAGTAAGTGACGTCGGGTTTTGTCATTTGTATGTCTTGCTGCAGTCACGTGCACGTCTGTTGCCACTCAACATTTGATGTAAGACACCTTCATAGCATATTCAACACATTCTTAAAAGGTGAAATTGTTTAAGAAGTTTGAAGGACCATCTACCAAGTCTCCTTCGTGGCCGTTTTTTGTCACGTTCCGCAGCGCGATCCATTGGAGGGGAGAGAGGGCGTTGTGTTACGATATCAAACAACAGCTGCGACCTACATTAGATTGCGACTTAGACTAGTTGGCTTGACTGAGTATTCCATACCAACCGTAATCTCATTGTCGCTTTGGCTTTGTCTTGTTTACTTTTTATTTAATTTTTGTCTGTTTGTTTATTGATTTTTCTTGTTTTGTTAAAGGTCATCCTGAGGCCCGTGTATTCCGGCCACCACACATGTCTCACCAGGCGATCAACCGCTGGTTCCTTGCTTTCACGCTTCTTCGAAATCCCTCTCTCGTCAAGTATCGCCGGCGGTGTGCCAGAGAAGCCAAAAAATGTAGCGTCTCTATTGAAGATGCAAACTATGGATCCGTCACACCGATTTGATC